CTCCTTGTGGGGGAGCAGCGAGTACAGGGCCACGAACCCCAGTGCCGGCAGGAGCAAGGCCAAGGCCCTTCTGTCCACGAGGCCCAGGGGCACGAAAAGCAGGCTGCTGCCCAGGCCCCGGGGCAGGGCCGAGTAGAAGTACCACAGCAGGGGCGAGGTCTGGGCGGGAGGGTCAAGGAGGCCACGGGTCAGCGATGGTCATGCATCCAGCCAGTCGGGTTCAGGCCAGGAGCACAAGGAAGACACAGCCCTGACAGGTGTCTCTGTCCGGGGCGCCCCGGACCCCCGGTCACCATGTGATCCCCTTCACTCGGGGACAGAGGCCAGGGCCTGGGCCTGGGCAGCAGCGGCACGTCCAGTGAATGGTGACCAGGCTGTGCAGGGCTTTTCCCTCCACGGAAACCACTGCCCTGGGTGACGGGCACACTGGGGACCTACCCACTGTCCTTCCTGTGGGTTTAATATCCCACAATTACACACCAGAGAGCGGTCACAGGACTGAGGGGGCAGCTGGGGCTCCAAACGCAAGGAGTTGTTTCCATGGGGTGGGCAGGACCAGAGCAGAGACCCATCCCCGCGCTGCAGGGCCTCCTGGGTGGACAGGGTGAAGGTGCCGGTCCTGGTGCTATGGCTGCTGCCACACCCCTCAGGTGCCCCGTCGGATGAGACAGTTGGGAGGAGAGCAGCTCCTCGCCTGGACTGAGCGAGGCCCTGGCCGCCGGCACCCTGCCCAGTGGGCCGTCCCACAGTGACGGGTAAAGGATACGCCCCAGTTGGAGCTTTTGTTCTGGACGGTGTTGTACCAGAGCACAGTTCCTTCCGGCCACACGAGGTAGCGCCAAAAATAGGAGTCCACCGCCACCGTCAGTCCTAACAAAGCAATGGTCCCCAGGAAGGGACACGGCCCCTGAGCGCAGACGCCACCCAGGCTGCTGGGGGAGTGAGGGCGGCCCGTGTCCCAGGCCCCAGGGCCATGTCCCCACGAGCCACCAGCTTCACAGGAAGGAACTGGCTGCTGGGGCCAAGGTCCCCAAGGGCATCTTCCCGTGGGTCACATGACCTGGGCGCAGTGGGAGGAGGGGAGCGCCTTTTGGGGATGCTCAGGCAGGATGGCAAGGACTTTCTATTGCTGCTTATATTTCAAAGGAATTTTGTTTAGTGACAAAAATCAAACCCTCCCCATTTTTCTTCATTTCTGAAATGAAAGCCAGTACTACCTCCAGGCAGGAGGCGGCACTCCGACTCACCGAGGCAGAGCAGGCCGGCGGGCACGGCGC